TAATTCATTTCATTTTCATCTATTTCCAAATGTTATACTACTTTCTAACTAAAAAATTCTATAACATTCAACGTATACGTAATCGGTCTCAAGTCAGTCACAAACATGCATAACAATCAATGTATATGTACTCGTGTGACTCCACAAGACTCGTGTGGCACATTTCGTGATGCATTACGAATATTATGTCATAACAACCAACATATAAACACGACTGAATATCATAATATATCAAGGTGCATTACGAATAGGGTTTATTGTACCAAATCTCCCTGTATTATATGAAATCTGCGCGTTTTCCCCTGGTATTTTAAAAATTGCGTCAAACTCCCTTGTATTTAATATCTGCATGCATACTCGCTATTTGATTTAAACACCGTTACTTTAGCGCTGACGGCGTTACTTTTTGTCGAATTTACCATTTTACCTTTACTTTATCAATGAATTTATCATTATGCCCTTATTGTCGAATATGTTGATTTAAAAATAAAAGACCAATGGTGGGGATTGAACCCATGACCTTTGAGTTGTAAAAGTGAACTCTCCACCAACTGGACTACTAGTAATTTTGTTATAACTGTGATTTCACATATATATATATATAATGTCTGACGAAAATAATATAATAAATAAATATATTCTAAATTATAAATAATATAATGATTGCTTAAATATTATTCTATATTATAAATAATAAAACGATTCATTAAATATATATCAAATTAAAAATAATAAATGAGTGAATAAATTGATTCTACATTATAAATAATATAATAATTTAGTATGTAGATTTTGTAATAATTGAATAAATAGATTCAAAATTATAAATAATATAAAAATTAAGTAAATATAATCTAAATTATAAGTAATATATAATTAAGTAAATAGATCATATAAGATAAATAATATAATGATAATTAAAAATTATAAATAATATAATAATTCAGTATATATATTTTATAATAATGGAGTAAATATATTCTATATTATAAAAAATATAATAATGGAATAAATTATATTTTATTCTAATTTAATTTTTATTTTATTTTATCTTAATTATATTTCCTTATAGTTACTTCTTTTTTTATTATTTTATTCTTTGTTTTGATTAAGTTTTCTCTGTGTTGTTGTTCTAAATAAAAGTGGTGCTAGGTATGTTCCACAAAATGATGGTGGCGCAGTGGTTGGAAGCCTTGCTATGAAGCTTTTGGCCCAGATTCGAATCCTAGGAACAGCAAAGCATTTTTTGTCAATAATGGCTAGAAAAGTAAGGGGCAAAATAGTAAATTTTAATTTTAAAATGAAAAAAGTGAATAATTATCGCATAAGAGCATGTGTCCTGCACGCGCAGTCAAGTTGGACGGAGAGGGGGGAATCGTGCAATAGTTAGTTAAATAGAAGGGGGTCTGACGCAATTTTTAAAATACCAGGGGAAAACGTGCAGATTTCGTAATGCAGAGGGGTTATGTATATTTTACCCCTTACGAATATCATGCCACAACTGTAACCTGTTTTGGTAGTAAACATCCCAACCTTCAACCGTCACATTTTGGTATCTAGACCACAAAAATAAATACGCGGTAATGGAAAATTAAGAGACAGATTCAGATGATTGTAGGGTGCGTTAGAACCAAGATGACAGATGACAATCTCGCGTTTTGGTCGTGTAGTCATTGATCGTGCATGGAGCGGCAATACTGTCATACAATAGTTGTCCATATCAGCACCATTGCTCCCAAGGTCTAACAAAACGACAACCGCATTAAACAGTGTAGCAATAAGAAAGAGGTCGGCTTCAACTTTCATCCAGTGCACCCTGCTACAAGAGCCCCGTCCTAATCTTATTTGTATGAGTGCGGCGTCGACCTCACTATAATATAAAGGGGTGTAAAAGGCACTGAAAAATTGAACCTCATTTGCAATGTTGGCTCTTACCATGGCCACATCTCCTGGTCCTTATACACGTAGCTCGCGATCACCTGAAATCTGCAGATGCCATCCGATTTCACATCCAGGTAACTCTCTATGTAGTCGAAACTACGAAGGGAATTTTTTGCCAATGGGGAAAATCGTAGATATTTGTCGGCATGGTCTCTGTAATATCATAATAAATTTACGTCACAATTTATATAAATAATTTAGTTAACATTCAGATAAAAAATAAAAAATAAAAAATCCCCTATTGGATCTTTTGAAGGGAGAAAAGACGAGCTTGTCGGGACACACAAATAACTGTTTGTACGCCCCACCGGACTACCTCTATCCCTGTACTCCCATTTCGATGGTCGACGCTTGGTTGAATTGTTTTTTTTTTTTTTGTCGACCTCTCGTATTTTCTTTCACCACAGGTTCTGTATAACCTTGTTGGTCAGGGTGAAGGTGAGCAAAATTGAGGTGATTCACGTGCCGCACCGTTGCAACATCGGTCGTTTCAACCTCGTCGGCATGGCTCCGAATAAACTGATGATTTGTCCATCCACTAGTCGATCCAATCTGGTCACCTGTCCCTACAAGTATAAGATCAAAATTTTAAAAAATTAAACAACATAATCTATTCAGTACATGAAGTATACCATAAAGTGAAATAGAAATTAGATAAATTCTATAAATTTATCAAACTCGCAATTATACCTGGCTCTGACACCTCTCGTGTGCTCCAGCACCTGTGGATCATGCCGACAGTAATCGGCATATCCAAAGTGTGTGCCGCCTTTAGCTCACAGGCACAAGAAAGTCCATGAGTGTATCTCAGTACACATCCGCAGCGCTCTAAAACCTCATCTCTCAAGTCTTGCTTCCTCTTAAGCTCATCATTTAATAAATGCAGACAGTGATGCGAGACCTGTAGATCCAAGTACGCGAATGGGAATCCTGTACTCTTCTAAGTCTTGAAGACTCCAGTGTGCACCTGACAATACATTAAATATCATTAAACCCAATGAAATTCATAAGTGATGCAGTGATAACACAGTAAATATGTGTAGTTTAATAAATGTACCTAACTTGAGTCAGTTGAGACCCAATCTCCATATTAACCTTCTCTCACACTGTATCAAGCGAACTGGTAGACGTGTTAAGGCACTGCTTCAACACAGTGTGGGAACTCTCCACCCTACACGAAATTGTGTTATCAAAATGTGTTAGAGAATTTGTCCACATTCTGTCAAACTTCTCCATGTGGACTAACCATGTCTGCCCACATATTGTAACACTCTCTTAAACGTCGCGTACCGAACATACAAGTCACCTACGACAGTGTTGTATTCATCCTTCGTAACCTGCTTCGACAACCTTCTTCCACCTGCTGTGCGCAAACTTCTGAGAGAAGTCCTTATTTTTTCTAACGAGTCGATAGACTATGTCTTCCACATCCTTGTTGATGTGCCACGTGCAAAGTAATTGGGCAAATTCTGAAAAATTCCTTCAAATAGGAGTCATCAAGCCCAACTCCATGTCAGTGACAATGGCATTAGGGTGTACATTATACCCTATAAGAAGTCTCAACTTCTATAGAACCCAGTCATAGCTGTCCTCGCTCTAGTCCTTGATAATTGCATATGCAATAAAGAAGTTCTTGTCGCACGATGTCATCCCAATAATTTCTACTAACGACATCTGGTACCTGTGCAAATGAGAGCAACAAGAGTAAACAAAGAATCAAAATACTTATCCAAACATACTAACTGAAATCCATACTAATTTGTTATTTATAAAGTAACACACATGTTGGTTTTGTACGTCGAATTTATACCGACGTACTAGTAATATGTCTGGAATAGACTAACTGTTGTTGGATGCGACATGAACAAACGTGTCAACGCCTGTGTGTCAGGATCAACATCTATATAAACTATACTTGCTATCTGTAGTCAAATGCAGAATCTGGGTAGTCACATCTCTATCCTCGAAACTACTTTTTGCAATTTAACTCTATAGTTATACACTTATCGCCGAGTAGCGTTGTATGCCAAGTTTTTATCATGGATTGCAGCTAAAATTACTGTCTGTTTTGCCTGAGCACCAGTCATATTACAGACAATCTCTTTAGATGAAGCGCGAAATCCGCTCATCTGTCGATGACCCTCAGGATACACAACCATTGCATGATTATGCATTCTATTCTTACCGTCAGGACTTACACGGATCCTCCATTATGTAGATCCTGCCACCTCTTTGGTTGCTATTTCAAAAGGGCATTTGCTCGCTTTAGTTTTCGAACGTCTGACAACAACCTTATCTAAATCATTTAAACAGCCTCTGTAACGTTCCCCTCGCGAACACTTCAAAATCTTCAACTTTCCTTCTTTTTTGTGTTTCGAAATGACCAATGAGATCTCCAAAATCTTTGAATAACCCCTGCAATATATTACGATGTTTGTTAATTTTACAAGATAATCAATTATAACTTATAACATAATAATTTTTGAATTCCAATATAAATAATAAATTCTAATTTATAAGATAATCAATTATAATATATAACATAATAATTTCTAACTTCTAACATAATAGTAATAAATTCTAATTTATAAGATAATCAATTCTAAATTATAACACAATAATTTCTACTAATATATTTTTTTTATAAATAAAATTAAATAACTAAAAAAAAAGCAGTCGGCCGGCGACGGCAGCCGGTTCAGTTTTGGCCAGCCGACTATATAGGTTGAGCTTGGTCATGGCCGGCTGCATATAGCGGCCGCCAATGGCCTTGCCTACATTGCCGGCCAGCCGCCACCGAACCAGCCACCATCGCCGGGCGATTTTGCTGATCGGCCGGCCAAAAATCGCACCTCGTCGGACGATATTTTTTTGCCGGAAATTATTTGGTAGAGATGATTTTACAATTTTTTGAGATTTTTAGAAAAATGACATGGACAAATAGTTCAGAGAAGGCGGTGAATAGTAAGAGGGAGGATGAATAGTAACACCTTTACTAATTGACGAATAATTCATATATTAATAATATTTTAATTTAATTTGAACGCAACTTTTCTCTGAAGCAACATAAGGTCGAAGAACTCTTATCATTCACCTTTTCCCTTTAGTACTTTCTCTGTAGGGTTTTATTCATCTTCGATTGTACGAAAAATTACCAGCTCCTTGAATCGATTCCGGAAAAATGGTAAGAAAATTCACTATTGCTAATGTTCAATTTGCCAAATTTTTCCTGTATATGTTCGCGCATTTTGGATCTCGCTGCTTCAATTTTTCTGGGTTCGATTGCGCAGGAAAATGGAGGAGATACTTTGGAGGCGAAAATCGAGATGCTGCTGAACGTTGAGAAGCAGATGAGGCAGGTGGGTGACGTTGCAGGCACGCGGAAGGCCGTCATCGATATTCTGAAGCTCTGCATCGAGGCCGGCGCGTGGAAGACACTTAATGAACAGATTGTGCTCATCTCCAAGCGGCGTGGCCAGTTAAAACAGGTCCCGTTGTTTCTTAAGATTTTTTGCTTGCATTTATATTTTGTAGTATTTGTGGACTGGTCTAGTTGAGATGGTAAGTTTGGTTGTCAATGTGTGTGCAGCCGTCTCACTTCTGATAGCCGTTCTGGCTTTACGTTGCTGATCTGGGTGATATGTCGCTCGTTTGTGTCACAAACCATGTAATTTTAGTACGAAAAGATTATCATTATGGCATAGTATATGTGGTTATTTGTGTAGATTAAAGACTTAACATGACTCTCTTTTCCAAAATCAGATTATTTTGAGCTATGAAATTAGTGGGTCGTACTCTAGTGATTCTCTCTTTTTCATGGTTGGTATTTTTAGTATTTCTTATGATTTTGTGTAGGATAAAAAAGATAATGGTTGGTACCCATACATGTTTATGGAAGTTCCTTTCTTGAAGAACTATTGTGTAATTTTTTTTTTCTTTTAGAAAAATTTGTAGCCCCGATGGAAGACTGCATTTGATGTTTCAAAATTTGAGCTCACCAATCACCAATTCCATATACCGGCCAGTCCATGGATAAAATCAAGTCACCATCATCCTAAACTTTTATTTTGCTCAATAAATTATTCACCTATGCCAAGTTTTCCAATCACAAACCACATTAACTATCATGTTAATGTAGAAACATCATCTATCATTTATAAACTTTCACGTCATAGCTAGTCGAGTCATCTCTGTTTTTCCGAAATAAATTATTGCGTATCACTTCGACAAGTTATTTTTCAAAGAGAAACTCTAGCGGCTACTCTTGACATATGTTGTTCTTGGTGTTAATTTATTATATTTTCATGGTAATATAAATATTGTAGGTAGCAGAGAAACCTGTGGTGACTTTTTCATTTTGAATTTCTTTCTAGGTATATCTCTCATTGTTTTTTCAAACAAGAAGTCATGAGATTTACTTGACTAGTTATCTGGAGTGTTATATGTGTGATTGGCGTGGGATAGTGGTAGGTATATGCCTTTGCGGTCTGGCTGATGCAGGCTTGAATTTCTTATTGGTATTTTGATGCAGGCTGTACAATCCATGGTTCAACAAGCAATGCTTTACATTGATCAGACTCCAGATCTTGATACTAAAATAGAGCTTATCAAAACACTTAACAATGTGTCAGCTGGAAAGGTGATTCTCATGCAGAAGAAACCTAAAACAGTTATTTTATTTAAGAACTAAGAATTTTTAGGACTTTGATTTCATTTTACTGGTAATTTTTGACAGATCTATGTGGAGATCGAGAGGGCTCGTCTTGTTAGGAAACTTGCAAAGATTAAGGAAGAACAAGGTCAAATAGCAGAGGCTGCTGAGTTGATGCAAGAGATTGCGGTTAGTGGATGTCTTTTCATTAATTCTCAAATCGTTGACCTTGATGCGTTAGTTAGTTCGACTTAAGTACTTAACTAGCTTGCTGAACCGATTTGTGCAACAGGTGGAAACATTTGGCGCGATGGCAAAAACTGAGAAAATAGCATTCATACTTGAGCAAGTATGCAGCTTTGTCCTTTTTCTTTTTATGTATTTTACAGGGAATGTTTTTCTAAATGAAAACCGGTCCATGTAACTGACACCCTTTTTCTCATAACTTGCAGGTCCGGTTGTGTTTAGATCGGCAGGACTATGTCCGTGCACAAATACTCTCAAGGAAAATTAGTCCTAGAGTGTTTGAAGCTGATGCATCAAAAGAAAAAAAGAAGCCTAAAGAAGGTGAAAGCATTGTTGAAGAACCTGCTGCTGATATTCCTTCACTGTTGGAGTTGAAAAAGATCTACTACCAGTTAATGATTCGGTATGTAGTACAGGCCTTTTTCTGTTTTCATATGTATTATTCCACCATCTGTATGTAAATTTTAAAGTGCACTCATCGAACTCTTACGTGATGGATGTGCACCATCCTGCATTGGAGATACATATGTTTATATGAAGGTGGTTGAACTGCTAGATTTGTTGGTTTTTGCCTTTTGCTAATTGCTGATCATACTTCATTTCTCTGTGGCATTCCTATTTAGTTCCTTAACATGCTAATTTGATTTCCCGTTTTCTCAATTCTAGTTCAAATTTATCTTTATACCTGAAATGATCTCTTGATGACATTTTCACCCCTTGTTGTTTGTGTTGCAATGCTCACTTTGTAACATGCCCTTTTTTATTATTCTCAAAGCAGATGCCAGAAGTTTGTTGCAGTCACAGCTTATGCTTATGATCTCATATGAAACTCCGTGACTCATGATTGTGTGTAGGCATTGTAAATTCCAGGAATGATTTGACAAAATTTAGTAGTTGCGGTCATGAATTTATTTTATATTACTGAGTTTCAGTAAATGAACTTTAATTTGTACATTATGCTTAAAATGTAAGAGAACTGTATAAAGGCAGTTATGTAAATCTTAATGATTCACCCAAGTGTCACCAATAGATTTGTCTTCGTGACATGACTGGAAAATAATATAACTTCTGCGATGTTAGATGGTGAAGTATCAGCCTATCATCTCACCCTCCCACTGCTCGCTTTAGGAATGGCCTGTCATTTATCACGTATCTATAGCAAGTTTTTTAATTGTTTTTCATCTTTTGCAGGTACTACTCACATAACAATGATTACCTTGAAATATGCCGTTGTTACAAGTCAATATATGAGATTCCCTCTGTGAAAGAAGACCCTGCCCAGTGGATACCGGTATATCATCGATATTGTGGTTGTAATTACTTTCTGATGTTGTGTGTAGGAATTATTTTTGCCTCGTTTGGTCTGTTTACTTTCTTTTGTCTCAATTAAATCATATGCTGCAGGTGTTGAGAAAAATATGTTGGTATCTGGCCCTGTCCCCTCATGATCCTATGCAGTCTAGCCTTCTTAATTCAACCTTGGAGGATAAGAACCTCTCAGAAATTTCTCATTTCAGGTCAGCCCTATAATATCTTTATGGCTATTGCTTTGATTTTCTTCACCAGCATATGGTACTCAAATCTTATCGTGCTTGTTGTTCTTCCATTAGGTCGCTGTTGAAACAACTAGTTACTATGGAGGTTATTCAGTGGACATCTCTGTGGGGCACATTCAAAGATGAGTTTGAGAGTGAAAAGAACATGGTTGGTGGTTCTTTAGGTGAAAAGGCAGCTGAAGATCTGAAACTCAGAGTAATAGAACATGTAATAATCGTTAAACTCACATCACTGTATAATATTTGAAGATTCATGTTCAATGCCTTTTTGGATGATATCATTGTTCATTTCTTTTAGATACTATATCTATATATTTATATAAATTGTGGAATGTTTTGCAGAATATCCTTGTTGTCTCAAAATACTATTCACGGATTACCTTGAAGAGACTTGCTGATCTGCTATGCCTTACAGTCCAGGTCTGTCAGCATGCTGTTTCTGAACGATTTGTGCTTGTGAAATTCTAAGAGCTTTTGAATGAAAAAAGACTGTTGAGCTGACTTTAAGCATCCCTTGTAGCTTTTTAAACCATGTTGGCTTGTCGAGGACACGTCTTCAGTGTCATTTCATATTAAAGTTTTAAGTTAGTAAGATTTCATTCCAGATCCAACTTTCTTGTTGAAGAGCCTGGACAATCTTAGAAAATCAATTAATGCCTATTTTTTTTTTTTAACTTAAAATTTGATTCAGTGACATGTTGTGTTACACTGGAGGGAAATGAGTCAATACGGAGGTGTTAATTATATTGGTTTGCTCAATGTTGTTTCAAAATATCAAATAACATCCAATTGTTCCAAATGTTATTTTTAATTATGTAACTCACATCTCACTCTTCAACTGTTACGATGTATCGTCATATTTATATATATATTTTTTGTTGGTATAGGTGGTAGTTAAATATTATTACTAATTTAAGCGTGCAGATTTTATCGGTGAATGATACCATAAATTGATTTGCAGCTTATCTGTGTGGTTGGTAATATATTTTATATTATTCAAAAAATTCAGTTATGTTTTATTATTCGAACATTTGAACGATGATGCATTACGGATCTTATGTATCATCTTTGTTTAATCAGCTGCATGTTCTTTCACATTGCAGGAAGCCGAAAAACATCTCTCGGACATGGTTGTCTCAAAAGCATTGGTGGCGAAGATTGATAGGCCTGTGGGGGTGATCAATTTCCAATCGGCCAAGGACAGCAATGACATTTTAAATTCATGGGCAATGAACTTGGAGAAGCTTCTCGACCTAGTCGAGAAGAGTTGCCACCAAATACACAAGGAGACAATGGTCCACAAAGCTGTGCTTAGAGTTTGAAAAATCTATATCACTATTTCCTTTTAAGAGGTTAGCAGTCATTTGTCTTCTCAATGTGTGGCCTTCATAAAACTTCCAGCTAATCTTTGAGTTAGTTATATTACCCAGAGAAGATACTAAAAATTCTAGCTAATTGTTAGAACAACAAATACAAAAATGGCCTTCTGGTTTTGTATTTATTTAACAAATTGCTAGTTTAGAGAATACTGATTGTAAAATTGAATCTGACTTGTTCATGCAGGAAGCACTTCAGCATTTGTGCTCTGTTCCAATGGCTAAAGGCAGGATGAACATTCTTCGCTATTGTGGGCCCCGACTTTCGGAATATATTTGGCACTCGACGTTTCATATGGTTCCATGTCCTGTCCCTTTCTAATGTTTTCGTTTTTGTCGTTTTTCATGTGGTTTTTATTCAGACAGTTCAAACATGCAAAATATAATTTCTCTGAGAAATGAATGGATTTGTCATTTGTGCTCTGTGAGCAAATTCTGTCCAGAGTTTTTTTATGTGACCAGAAAAGTGTGCCATTAGTTTCACTTTTTGAACATTGTGATTATCGTGCATTTCTTGGTTGTACGTGGTTCGTTGAACTTTCGTGACTACAGACTTGGGCAGTTAATTTACTTGGACCTTTATGACTTTGCTGCCCATTTGTTTCTAGAATATTCATTTGCTTCTATGAGAAATCTATGGGCTGGTGGCGGCGGGACAAAATGTGTGTTCAGCAAGTAATTATGCATTTTTTAGGTAAATTCATTTTAAAATATTATTAATTGTGTATATAATTTCTCACATATTCATAATAATAATAAATAATTTGCATGTAAATTTTAATGGTTAGCCATAATAGTATAGTATTCCTGTGAATGGTTAGCCTTAATATTAGTATTCTGTGATAAACATTTTGTCATATAGACATATATAGTTATATACGTAATTTTTCTTCTTAATTTTAATATATTTAAAGGACATCCATAAACCAATGGTTAGCGTAAATTGCGCCAAAACCTGGGTTGATAAGTACAAAGCCAATCTTATAATCAACTGGGTCTTTAGGTTGACCCGCTGGTGGTCAACGGGAAAAGATGCTCTTATTTCTGACTTTAACACATGATTGACTTTTAAGTTTATAATAATTGTGTAATGACAAAATAATGGTATATTAGTATCATATTTTGATTCTAATTCCATTAGGAGTTGAAAGGTAGTTTAGACTTGGCCCAATTTCATTTCATCTGCTTCATTTTTAATGCACAGATTATTGTCCGAGGCACCAGTAATACAAGTCAATTCATCATACTTTGTTTATGTAAGTCTTTAAAATATGTCATCTACTATATATGAAAGTATGACTATATGTTAAAATAGTATAAATCAAAGTATGACTAATCCATGCAATAATATTCTCATACCAACTTACAATAGCAACCAACAAAATTCACCAATCTTTACAAAAACCATCAATCTCGCCGGCCTGCTCGCCGGACATCCATCTCAGGCGGCGGCTCAGCCGCCGGAAAATCCACACGATAAGCATCGTTTGCCGGAGCATAAGATTGCAAGCCGGGAGTATCATAACCCATCATCAACTCAGGCCCCGTACGCCCCAAGTCAAAATTACCAAACTGCCCCTGAAACCCAAAATTACCAAATTGTCCCCGATCGTTAGAATGAAGGAGCCGAACATTTTCGGGGAAATTGAGCTTGGCCTTGTTTCCCCTGTAATGGAGGGCAGCCTCGTCATATGCTCGGGCAGCGGCCTCGGGCGAGTCGAAGGTGCCGAGCCAGACACGGGCAGCTTTGTGAGGGTCTCGAATCTCGGCTGCCCATTTGCCCCACGGCCTCTGCCTCACGCCTCTGTACTTTCGGTTCCTTCTTGACGAGACGTTTGCGGCTTCTTGAGGGTGAGTTGGGGTGTAAGTGTAGATTGAGTTTGGTGATGTTATGATGGTTGGCTTGATTTGACTTGAATTGATAGTNAGATGGAGGTATGCTCAAGTTGCACAAATGCTGCTCTTAGGCAATAATGCTTATATTATTACACAAATGCTGCTCTTAGGAAAAAAATGCTGGTGTTAGGCTATGTCGGATAATTATATTTTTTAATATAAAATACATATTTATACAATAAAATGTCATACTTTTTTTTTTTATAATAGTAGTTTAAAATACTAGCATTTGATTATAAAAATACGTATATATAGATAGTTTGTGAAAGAGTATACTTAACCATTAGGCAGCCTAACAAAGACCTACCCAAATCAAAATTTCACTAGAATTAAGAATAAGCCTTTAAATAAAACAAACCAAAATCATAAAGTTACATAAAAAAAAATAATAATAATAATAATAATAACCTTTCTTTTTATTCCTTATAAAATGTACCTAAAGATGATGATGGTCCCAAGTTTGAAGAACTCCCAATGGCAAAATCAGTATAATTTTCATAACAATATTGCGTATCTTCATCACGTGCCCTTTTACCACATGGCGACGAAGACGAACAACTGCCGCCATCAGCCGCCACATCTCCGGCCAGCACACGAGCCAAAGCCGAAACCATAGCCGCCATCTCTTGCTCCCTATCAACGCCGGAAAAGTCGAGCGAATTCAGCCAATCAGTGAAATAACTCCCATTCTCCGAATCGAAAGCCTCGTTTTCGACACCGACCCTTTTTTGGGCGTAAAAATCCTCTCTTGATGAATTAGCCACCTTCAACACACACAAATGTAAGGGGAGAAAAGTAACAACAATGGAAAATGAAAAGAAGATATATAAAGAGAAGAATACTGAGATTGATGTGATTAAGTAAAACTAGTTGCTGTATTCTGAGATTGAGATACTGTCAAACAAAGTCAAATACTTGAAATATTTATAGCACTATGTCAAATTAGTACCACAAGAAATTTAATTATTTATATATATGCACTCAATCAATTTTCGTGAAAGTTGACCATCAAGAACATTTTATGCATATATAGGCAAGTTGGGGTTGATTTTATTTTATTATATGAAGTTGAGAAAAGGAATAATATATAAAGGAAAAAATTAGGCGCCAAAGGCGGTGGTCGACTTGATTTCTTCTTATTAGAGAAGGAAGAGCGCGTGGATAAATTTGATATATATGAGTTATTGTCTGATTTTATTACACGTTTCTTATTAATTTATTTGTTATTTTTTAGGGATAGATATGAATAAAATTTGATTTTTGTTATACTAGGTCGACATATGCCCAAAAAAGTTTGGCATACATCAAAGTGGATGAAGACAGAGTTGTCTCATGTTTAATTTTATAAGACAAATGAGCTTATTTTATAAACTATATGTGTTATTTTTTTCATTACCAATTTTTTTCTTTTTTTTTTTTGGAATTGAACTTTATTAAGATAGCAATTAGGCTCACTCTTTAGGGAGTGTATTCGTTTGGAATTTATAAAGATTTTTTAAGATATCATAAATTATGGTGTATTTGATTTAGACTTTTTAAAACTTTTAAAAGCCTTTAGGCATTCATTTAAAATTTTAATATGTTACAAAACCATGAAATATTTAACTTATTTGAAACTAGGATTTTTAAGACTTTATAAGAATTGCTGGGATTTCAATATAAAAACATCTATACGAAATACTGCTCCAAATGCCACCTTTAGACTTAAGATTTCATAGCATTCTTTCAAAATCTGAAAATCTTAAAAGGATGTATTCATTTGGAATTTCTAAAGACGTATTCAGAAATCCTGGTTTATTTAGTCTAGATTTTTTAAAATTTTTAAAAGTCTTGAGGTATTCATTTGAGATTTTAAAAAGTCTTACAATATCTTGAATTGTTTAACTTATTTGAGACTAATATTTGTAAAGACTTTTTAAGATTTGCTGGGATTTCAAAATAAAAAATCATATATAAAAAATTAACTCCAAATTCCACCTCAAAAGTCAAAACTTAAAGATATCACATGATTCCTCCTAAATCTAAAAATTTCAAAAAGTCCTAAATCTCAAAAAATATTAAAAACGTACGTCACTCAAATACCAAAAGATATCTAAAATTCAAAATGTCACAAAATCTCAAACGAATATACTTCTTAATGTTGTTCCTCCACAAGACGCACATTTTTTTCAAAAATCTATATTAAATCATATATCTTATCATTTTTCCCAAATCTACAAATCTAATTATATCCTATCATAAAGGGCGCGGAACAAAAATCTAATGTGACCATTATTGTTTTTATTTTTATTTTTTTTTCCTGTTATTCACTGTATGAGGTGCATTCACGTTGTTCTCTTTCTGAGAGGATCATTCAATGCAACTCGAAGTTTGTTTCAATCGGGGATTATTCTCGTCGAGATTGTGGTACGCACAAAACTTCAGCCAATCAAAATGTTAATAGTTTGTGACTATCATTACGTACACAATAGTTCTTCTTAGTTGGCCCAATTTACAAAAACAGACCACGTTACTAGTTAGTTGACTCATATCATATCACATAATAAACTATCATAGATAAATTTATTTTAATTAATAAATAATAAATTTATTATTTCCTCAATTATTATATATTGATAGATAAGCTAATTTTATTTTCTAATAAAATTATGGTCAAAGTCCGATGGGACACAAGTGGATGGGACCAATATCCTAATAAATTAAACGTTAGGGGGTGAAGTGAAGTAATACCAACATTTGACCGTTGAAATATGTATGATGGCATGGCATGTGGCTTTGCATGCATAAAAGATGATGGAGAAATTTAGTTTGACACGATGACGGTGGTGAGTGCCGTACATAAGTCATAATTGGAAAGTCAACTCCTCTTCATCATGTTGTTATTATTAAATTAGTAATACATCTTTCCCCTTATTTTTTTTTTAAATGTTATTTTGTTTTATTAATAATTAATTAAATAAATGACATTTTGAATCTTTTATACTTATTTTTTTATTACTACCTTCATCAAGCTAATAAATATACTACGTCTTTTCATATTCACTCTTCATCTTTTATCAAAACATTCATCTCTATTCTTATTAATGAGGATTATTATTGACAAAAAAAAAAAATTAATTACTGTGCAACTTCTCAAAACGATACATATTAAAAACACGAGAGTAATAAATATAATAATATAGTCAGAAATAAATATATACTAGTAGAGTATAATACCTGATTATTATAGGTGTTGATAAAATATCTATAATTAAAATTTTAAAATAAAAAAATTTGAATAATTATTTGAAAAAAAAAATTATTATTTATATTTAAAATGACACTCTTAACTTATACGACTATCTCTTTCTAAGTTATTATATTATTTAATTCATATTATATTTAGTTAATGATAAATTTTTTTATGTTTTAACTAATAATGATAGACAACTTAATTATGTGTGTGTGAAATAGAAGCTCGTCAATAGATAATTAATTTGATATATCATTTATAAAATTATGATAATATTTATGAGTTATTAGCTTTAAAATATGTATAGTTCAAGTTAGTTGCATATTTTATAATTTTAAATTCTTGTTATGCATGGACATAAGCCCAAATCTATCTGTACTACTAAACACAAAAATTGATAAATAGAATTAGAAAATTGGCACATAGGTTCGAAACACTCTAAGGAGAATATTAGGATTAAAGTTGATTAGAGTTGTTAAATGAAACGAGTTGCTCGTGAGTTATTTTAGGCAAATTTATCAGACGAGCCGAGCTCGATGTTGTTTAAGGTTCGTTCAGTTAGCGAGAGGACTTGACACGTCAAGGCTTGTTAAGCTTGATAGGTAATGATTTATACATAATTTTCAGACTTTTATCATATATCGACTCGTCAAAGATCGAGCTCGGCTCGAATGATTCACAACTCTAAATTTGATTAACTGATTAGAATATAAAGAAAGTCCTATGTAATGACAAGTTAATGTTGAGTTTAGAGGGGAAAGGAAAAAAAATATATATTTGAGATGTGTGTGGTT